GAAAGTGTGAGTGAAACACGCTGTTCAAGCTCTTGCCACCACTTCCTCCCTCCTGACCATTATGAGCTGCTCCTTCTGCTCCTGGCATGGAGATTCATGTCAGGCCCACATTCCCATCACTTCCCTTTTCACTGTTTCCCTGTGAACCCAAGAGAGAACTTCCTTGTGCACAGCCATCCACAGGGTTTGGATCATCTTAGGCATATGACTATTCCAGAATAGCTTGCTTCTTTTTTTTTTTTTTTGGATGTATGTTTGATGACTATTACAAAAGTGATGATTACTTAGTACTCATCCTGGTTTTATATTTAGTAGATTCTCCATTAAATTTAACTTTATTATTGTAAAATTACCTACATTATAAATCTTATTTTCAATTAAAATGTGTCAAAGGAGTAAAGACAGGTTCACTGTTGAAAATACAAAACATACAAGCTGGCGCCGCAGCTCACTAGGCTAATCCTCTGCCTTGCGGCGCCAGCATACCGGGTTCTAGTCCCGGTCGGGGCGCCGGATTCTATCCCGATTGCCCCTCTTCCAGGCCAGCTTTCTGCTATGGCCCGGGAGTGCAGTGGAGGATGGCCCAAGTGCTTGGGCCCTGCACCCCATGGGGGACCAGGAGAAGCACCTGACTCCTGGCTTTGGATCGGTGTGGTGCCGGCCGCGGCGGCCATTGGAGGGTGAACCAAAGGCAAAATGAAGACCTTTCTCTCTGTCTCTCTTACTCTCCACTCTGTCAAAAACAAAACAAAACAAAACAAAACAAAAAACACAGAAAAGAGGAAAAAGTAAAGTAATTCATAAAACCTACCAACCAGATATAGTTAATGGGTTAGGGTACACCCCGTTAGTTATAGATATTTATACATACTTGGGGTCATGATGACTGTCTATTGTCCTTTTTGTTAATATGATGGCATAAGAGCTTCTCATGTCCTTCAAATTGCCTGAAATAATGGCTGTAAAATATTTTGTCATGTGGATAAAATACAATTACACCTTTGTTGGCTCTTTTAGCGTTTTTTCCCCACTTTTTTTTCCTTTGATAAAAATGAACAGGAAGATTTTAGCAAAAGAAAGAAAGAGAGAGAGGAAGGAAGGAAGAAAGAAGGAAGAAGGACAGACAGCCTGGGTACTTAGAGAGGCAGGAACATTTGAGATACAATTATCTATACTCACCTTGCTTGCATTTCCATTTCAGGAGACTGAATTCCTAATAGGATCTAGGAAAGATCTTAAAGAGTAAGAAATTGGGGCCAGCACTGTGGCATAGCAGGTAAAGCCGCTGCCTGTAGTACCGGTATCCCATATGGGTGCTGGTTTGAATCCTGGCTGCTCCACTTCCAATCCAGCTCTCTGCTATGGCCTGGGAAAGCAGTAGAAGATGGCCCAACTCCTTGGGCTCCTGCACCTGTGTGGGAGACCCGGAAGAAGCTCCTGGCTCCTGGCTTTGAATGGGCGCAGCTCCAGACTTTGCAGCCAATTGGAGAGTGAACCAGTGGATAAAAAGCCTCTCTCTCTCTCGCTCGCTCGCTCGCTGGCTCTCTCTCTGCCTCTCCTTCTCTGTGTAACTCTCACTTTCAAATAAATAAATAAATCTTTTAAAAAAAGAGTAAGAAATTGTCAGCATATCTCTACAATTGTCCTGCTGAGGGGCCTGGGAAGACAGCAGAGATGGCCCAGGTATTTGAGCCCCTGCTACCTGTGTAAGATACCCAGATGGAGTTTCTGGCTCTTTGCTTCTGCCTGGCCCAGACCTGGCTGTGTGGCCACTTGGGGACTGAACCAGCAGATAGAAGATCCTTCACCCCACATCTCCCTTTCTCTTTGTTGCTCTGCTTTCTTTTTCCCTCTGATTTCAAATAATTAAATATTTTTAAAAATGAGCAAGCTCTCCTTCTGAAGAATTATCTCTGAAACAGTTAGAGGTGTGCAGATAATTCTGCAAGCTTATTAGAAATACTTGAGTATTCAACTGTGATCCCAGTTCTGATTTTCCAAATTCTGGGATCACAATTGAAATATAAATTCATGACTAGCTGATTAATAAACTAATTGGAACATCCTGTTCAGAGCTTTGGTTTTCCTAGCCAAGTGTGGACTGCACACTGGGTGACAGATGAATCCCTCTAGGGTGGATGATGTAGGTTGGCCCTCCCCCACAGCATGGTGGCTGTGGCATGAATAGACCCAGATGTGGTATTTCTGGCCTTTCACAACACCAAAGAGGTTTCACTAAGATGGGGCTGGCATTGTGGCATTGTGGCATGGCAGGGTAAGCTGCTGCTTGCTTTGCTGGCATCTTATATGAGTGCTTGTTGGAATCCTGGCTGCTCCACTTCCGATTCAGCTCCCTGTTAATGTGCTTGAGAAAGCAGTGTAAAATGGCTCAAGCCCTTGGGCCTCTGCCACCCACATAGGAGACCTGAATGGAATTCCAGGCTCCTGATATGGCCTGGCCCAGCCCTGGACACTGGGATATTTGGGAAGTGAATCAGGAGGGAGAAGATCTCTATTTCTGTCTCTTCCTTTATCTCTGTAACTCTGCCTGTCAAATAAAATACATAAATTAAAAAAAAAGATTCCAGTAAGAACTAATGGATCTCAAACCATGAGGCTATACAACTGGCCTCATTCTTTTTTTTTTCTTTTTCAAGATTTATTTATTTATTTGAAAGGCAGAGTTACAGAGAGGCAAAGAGAGAGAGAGGTCTTCCATATGTTGGTTCACTCCCCAAATTACTGCAATGGTCGGAGCTGCACCAATCCAAAACCAGGAGCCAGGAGCTTCTTCTAGGTCTCCCAAGCAGGTGCAGGGGCTCAAGCATCTGGGCCATTTCTACTTCTTTCCCAGGCCATAGTAGAGAGCTGGATCAGAAGTGGAGCAGCTGGGGCACGAACCGGTGCCCATAGGGGAAGCCAGCACTGTAGGTGGCAGCTTTACCTGCTATGCCACAGTGCTGGCCCCTGGCCTCATCCTTTCTAAAATCATTTATCTGCTACTTCCATGACAATCCAAGGACATTGAATTCCTCAGAACTTGCTTTCCAGGATGTATACAGGTGATAATGTAGTGATGTCTGTGAAATGAATTATGACTTTTTTTTTTTTTTTTTTTTTTTTTTTGGACAGGCAGAGTTAGACAGTGAGAGAGAGAGAGAGAACCAGAGAGAAAGGTCTTCCTTCCGTTGGTTCACTCCCCAAATGGCCGCTATGGCCGGCGCGCTGTGCTGATCCGAAGCCAGAAGACAGACGCTTCCTCCTGTTCTCCCATGTGGGTGCAGGGCCCAAGGACTTGGGCCATCCTCCACTGCACTGCCAGTGCACCTGTGAATGCTGGACTGGAACAAGAGCAACACTGACAGCTACTGCGTCCTGACCCAGGTAGAACCCGGAGTGCCAGCGCCGCAGGTGGAGGATTAACCTAGTGAGCCGTGGCACAGGCTGACTTTTCTCAGTTTCAACACTGCCTCTGGTTCATTAAGGTGTAACTGGGAGCTTCCTTAATTCCCTTGGATTCCCATAGTTACCACTAGAACTATGAAGGCACACTCCAGTTGTCCCCAGGAATTAGCCGAGCAGGGCTTCAATTCATCTGGGTACCAGAGCAATAGGTCTGATTTTGGTTCCAAGTACCAGGTCTAATAAACCTGGCAATCGGCGCCGTGGCTCAATAGGCTAATCCTCCGCCTTGTGGCGCCGACACACCGGGTTCTAGTCCTGGTCAGGGCGCTGGATTCTGTCCTGGTTGCCCCTCTTCCAGGCCAGCTCTCTGCTGTGGCCTGGGAGTGCAGTGGAGGATGGCCCAAATGCTTGGGCCCTGCACCCCATGGGAGACCAGGAGAAGCACCTGGCTCCTGCCTTCGGATCAGCGCAGTGCACTGGCTGCAGCGCACCAGCCATGGCGGCCATTGGAGGGTGAACCAACGGCAAAGGAAGACCTTTCTCTCTGTCTCTCTCTCTCTCACTGTCTACTCTGCCTGTCAAAAAAGTAAAAAATAAATAAATAAACCTGGCAATCATCACATGAAAGGAAATTCATGAAATTATGTTTTCCTACTGAGTTGTGGCTTTAAAACATGTGTAATGAAGAACTACATTCTTCTTGATGCACCTATACTGATCACATATACTTGACAATGGGATGGAAAATTAAAAATATAGCAACAGATATCAAAATGTATTTCCAACTGCCCATTTTTAGATGATATACAAAGGTGTATGCATGTGTATTTATATTCCTTGGCCACTGTCTGCTTTTGATAAATCAAAATCTAGATTATATTGTACCTTTTTTCTTCGTTTGAGCATCTTCATCTGAAAGGAAACACCGAGAGTGTGCGGCCGCTTGCTGTCACTCTCAGTGCTTTGGGCAAATGCAGACTGTGATACCCTGGCATAAAGCAAACAGAATCCTCTTCGGATCCCTATCGCTCTGCTCCAGATAATACTATCTCCAAAACCCAGACTATCAGGGCTTACAACACTGGAACCCCACAGGATGTGTGTCCAAGGTTGTTATCTGTCTGTGGGAAGTGCCTTCACCTCAGGTGAATGGGAAGTGCAGAGCTGGCCTTGGCCTACACTGGTCTGGTGTGCTGGAGGCAAGGTGTCTCAGCAAGGGCGATATCGCCACTCATCGCTGCATTTCCAGGAAAAGAAAACTGAAACCACAGATTCCTGGAGAAAGCAAACAAGGAGAATTCAAAACAACAAACCCAACAGAATGAAGGGAAAGCAGACCCAAAAGTCTGCTGGAGGAAGTGGTGAGTGTGGGGTCATTCTTTTTCTAGGCGTCCACCACAGCTTCAGAGTAATTAGCAGAGGTGGAGGATGTTAGAGTGGTGAACTGTTAAGGGTTCAGCGTCGTATTTACATATCCTGTAGAGCACAATGTCTAAAAGTCCTAATGGACCATAGTATTCCAATTACCCCTCACTTCCCCATTTTGCGATTCTATTAGCTTAAAGAGGAACTGGTATCTCTAGGAGAACTTGAACTTTCTGTTTCAGCAACTGCTTTCTTTGCTAGCGTTTCAGTTTGCACCAAACTTACTGGCTGCTGCTTAAGGGTAGTATGCGACTGGGGCTGTCTGAGCCATGAAGAGCTTCGGCATTGCTATCCTCTTTGGGACTGTGGCAGCCTGGGCTACAGCGGACAAGCCTCTAGTACAGACAAATGAGGCTGGATTTCAGCAATGCAAGGATGCCTTGAAACTCCCTGTCCTGGAAGTCCTACCTGGAGGAGGCTGGGATAATCTGAGGAATGTGGACATGGGTCGGGTGATAGGTTTGACTTACACCAACTGCAGGACCACAGAGGATGGACAGTACATCATCCCTGATGAAATCTTCACCATTGCTCAGAAACAGAGCAACCTGGAGATGAACTCAGAAATCCTGGAATCCTGGATGAACTACCAGAGCAGCACTTCCTACTCCATCAACACAGAGCTCTCTCTTTTTTCCAAAGTCAATGGCAAGTTCTCCTCTGAGTTCCAGAGGATGAAGACACTTCAGGTGAAGGATCATGCTATCACCACCCGGGTTCAGGTCAGAAACCTGGTCTACACCGTCAGAATCAACACTGCTTCAGAACTGAGCTGGGGGTTTAAGAAGGAGCTCATGGACATCTCTGACCGTCTAGAGAACAATCAGACAAGGATGGCCACCTACCTGGCAGAACTCTTGGTCCTTAACTATGGCACCCATGTCATCACCAGCTTGGACGCTGGGGCTGCTCTTATCCAGGAGGACCACATCAAGTCCTCCTTCCTCGAGGACAACCAGAACAGTCGTGCCACCATGACTGCCTCCGCTGGAGCTGCGTTCCAAAACATCTTGAACTTCAAATTTGAGGAGAACTACACTTCCCAGAATGGCTTCACCAAGAGCTACCTCTCCAACCGAACCAACTCCAGGGTGGAGAGCCTCGGAGGGGTACCTTTTTACCCCGGTATCACCCTCCAGGCCTGGCAGCAAAGCATCTCCAACCACCTGGTGGCTGTGGACCGTGCTGGTTTGCCCCTGTATTTCTTCATCAAGCCGGATATGCTGCCTGACTTGCCAGGCCCCTTGGTGAAGAAGCTGTCTAAGACAGTGGAAACGGCTGTGAGACGTTACTATGCATTCAACACTTACCCTGGCTGCACAGATGTTGATTCACCCAACTTCAATTTCCAGGCCAATATGGATGACGGCTCCTGCGAAGGGAAAATGACCAACTTCTCCTTTGGTGGGGTTTACCAGGAATGCACGCAGCTCTCGGGGAGCGACGCTGTTCTCCTCTGCCAACACCTGGAGCAGAAGAATCCACTGACTGGTGATTTCTCCTGCCCCTCTGGCTTCTCCCCAGTCCATCTTCTGTCCCAGATCCAAGAGGAGGGTTACAACCAGCTGGAGTGTCAGCGGAAGTGCACGCTCCTCATCTTCTGCAGGAGAGTGTGTGAAGATGTTTTCCGGGTGGCAAGGGCTGAATTCCGAGCTTTTTGGTGTGTGTCCAGTGGCCAAGTACCCGAAAACTCAGGACTACTCTTTGGGGGCCTCTTCAGTAGTAAAAGCATCAACCCCATGACCAATGCACAGTCATGCCCAGCTAGCTATTACCCACTGAGCCTCTTTGGAAACCTCAAGGTGTGTGTTTCTCAGGACTATGAGCTGGGATACAGGTTTCTGGTCCCCTTTGGAGGGTTCTTCAGTTGCATCGTCGGAAACCCCTTAGCAGATTCTACAACCTCCAGGGATACAGGCGCACCTTCTCTGAAAAAGTGTCCTGGGGGCTTCAGCCAACACCTAGCCCTCATCAGTGATGGGTGCCAAGTGTCCTACTGTGTCAAAGCCGGGATCTTTACGGGAGGACCTCTGCCCCCCGCCAGGCTCCCGCCTTACACACAGCCACCCCTCATGAGTCAGGCTGCCACCAACACCGTCATAGTGACCAATACTGAGAATGCCAGATCCTGGATCAAAGACACCCAGACTCATCAGTGGCGGCTGGGAGAGCCTTTGGAACTGCGTAGGGCCATGAAGGTTGTTCATGGGGACAATAACGGTCTGTCAGGAGGGGCAGCAGCTGGGGTCACATTTGGGGTCACCACCTTCTTGGCAGCTGTCATCGCCCTGGCTGTCTATGGCAGCCGGAAGTACAAGAAGAAGGAATACCGAGCAATAGACAACGAGAGAGAGAGTCTAGTTCCAGACATCACGGTGACTGGAGACACCCATGCCAGAGGACAAGAGCAGAGCCCAGCTTAAACTTCTCCAGGAAAATGATTTCTCTCTTCTGCAACTAGAGCTTCAAGCATATCTTTCATGACTTCCATCTCTATTTCTGCCCTGCTAAGTACAGGAGAGGCAAGTGCAACCAAAGCAGGTATAATTTTGTTACCTCTTGTTCAGATATCTGTGCCAGCAAATTAATGAAGCCACATGGAAAGGCTGGGGGTGGGAAGAGGGAGTTATTGTGGTTTTTTGAGCAAAATCTATGCTGGGAACTAACCCATGAAGGGGGGGAATCCCTTTCCAGGTGTGTGTGTGTCATCAGTGATGCATGTGTGTAAAAAGAGAGGGGGATGTTGATATTTGAATTTGGAAACTGTACTTTTAATCTGAGGTCTGCAGTTTTCAATTTATGAGCTGCAAGAATTTTGGCTTTTAAGTACTCCCCTCTCTCTATTTTGCTTTCTCCCAACTGTCTGACAATGAAGACTTGCTTAGACCAGACCACTCAAAAAAACTTCTCACTTCTGTCATCAGATCCTCAGAAAATATTTTAACACATCAATTTCCATTAAGAGGGCAAAGAGGACAGATGATTGGATGACAAGGAGTAAGCAGAGAAAGTGAAAACATGGGAAAGATTCTGCTGCTCAGGGGAAGTTGGAAGTCTTACCCTCAGCCAGCTAATTGATTTCTTCCTTTTAGCTCATCATAAAGGGGCACCAAGAAGAGACAGAGCTGGATAGATCAAGCATTACAGTGTCATGTTCTTTCCTCTTCCATGCATGGCCCCTACCTTCCCTATCTTCCTCTCACATGCACTTACACACACACACACACACACACACACACAAATAAGCAAACATCTAAAGATTACTGTTACTTCCTCCCTAAAGTCAAAGCAGAGTAGAAAGCACCAGTAGGGCACCTACCTTTTCTTTTACCAGCAGAAAGGGGGTTGACATGGTCAAGTCCACATTTTTAAATGAATTGAAAAAGACATCTAGCATCACTCACTTCAGTTCCAAGCTGACTTCCCTGGGGCATCTAGCAGAATGCATGACTGTTACCCAGCAATATTGGGGGCTTTGCTCAATTTAGCTCACATAATTGTTAATTAGCTCCACATAATTCATGTTCCTCCACAACAGTTAAAAAATTTGTATATTTACTTACCAAATCAAGTGTCATTAGTGAACTCGTGTCCCTGGAGGATAATTTGTTCTTTTTTTGTTAATGCTTGCAATTAAGGTCTAGGGCTTACTCTTTCTCTTCCAACTCAGATACAGAGAAATGCAGAATGGAATTTGAGCCCCGCTCTCCAGGTTGCACAGCCAAGGACTCTGATTTCTACAACCTGAGCATTTAATTCTGCCTGATAAGCACTCACATGTTCTAAACCTCTGGGTGTTCTGTGGGTTCTGGGTGTTGTGTATGTTGCAAACAAGCTAACCACTTTTTGGCAATTACTGACTTTCCAGTGGCTTCTTTGAAGATTACTGGGTATAACCAAAGATTCCCAGACCTTTAATGTAATAACTATCCACTGAAAAGAACAGTTCTTCACACACTCACATTTTTACTAACCAAGCTGCATAGCAACATGAACTAAAATATGTACCAGGGAACACTCTGACTGTTCATCCCTATGAAACCAACATTCACCATATCATTCTGCAAAGTCAGAGCTTGAGGGAGAGTTCAGAACCTCTGCTTTCAAGTCCTGGTGGTCTTGGGCAGGATCTGTGGAAAGATCCATCCTGGCTTCCAAGAAAACCACATCTGGTGAGCTATGAAAAGTGGAGACAAATTCGGAATGATAAAGGTGGCTCTACATATGCATTTTACTTTTATGTTCTCACTAGTCTCAGGGTGATTATTACTAAACATTTATTTGAAAACAACAATACACTATGAGTGATTGAATCATATATTATCTTGTGTTCAGGTGAAGGGACCCTTAAAAAGTAAATGTTTGGGGCAGCAGGTTAAGTGCTATCTGTGATGCGGACATCCGATATTGGGGGGAGGGGGAGCATTTCAAGTTCTGGCTGCTCCACTTCTGATCCAGCTCCCTGCTAATGTGCCTGAGAAAGCAGCAGAAGATGGCTCAAGGACTTGGGCCCCTGCCACCCACGAGGGACATCTGGATGGAGTTCCAGGCTCCTGGCTTTGGCTTGGTTCTGCCCTGGACGTTGTGGCCCTTTGTGAGGTGACCACATGGATGGAAGATATCTGTCTCCCTTCTCTTTGTCAAATCTGCCTTTCAAATAAATATTTTTTAAACAAGTGAATGTTCATGATTTTAGAGATGACCGTTCTCCCACAAGATCACTTACTCATTTCTTCATGCCACATATGTAATCTGCTTCTTTAGATGGACCAGGAATCAAGCCAGGTCAGATTTGTGGGTGGAGAACATGCAGAAATTTCAAACAAAACACAGAAAAGGGACTCCCCCATCAGCATCCAGGGGAAGGTTTTGTGGTTGCTTATGGACTCAGGGAGGTAACCCAATATTTCAGATAGATGCATGCATCTACAGAAAGCAGAAGGTCAACAGTTCTTTGTGGTTGTTCATTTGCCATTTATTGTTCTGCACATACAGCTCATGAGCACCAGGTGGCGATGTCCTCTCACAGAGCAACACCAAGGACTTAAAAACACACCAGTAACAGAACAATTCACATCAGGACATACACCTGCCCTCTCCCAGAACCCCCACCCCCACCCCCACTCAAATGCTGGGCAACCACAGACAAGGAAAGGGGGCAGGGGGCCTTTCTTGTGCCACATGGGCCTTCCCCCAATCCTTTCATGCACATGACAGTGCAACACCAGGATGAGTACTTCTGACCAAGTATAAAACCACAGAGGTCCAGATTTTACAAAAAGGTGGAGTGGGGTGGGGTGGAGAATGAAGACACAAAGGCACACACAACCACATATACACAATTAACCTTTCAAGGGATGAGCTGGTCTCCAGCCCCGTGCATCAACCCTGGAGATTCAGGAAGGGTGAAACCATACTGCTGGTGCTAAGCCCACGAGAGGAAAGGCGTAGAATCCACTGCCCGGCCAGGGGAGCACAGCAGGGCTTTCGGTGGGACAATGCCCTGTGCCACAGTAGCAGATGCACAGGGTTCTGCTGGCAGCATTCCCGCCGAAACCAAAATCGTGCCTTTCAAGGTAGGCACGAAAGAAGGAGCAGACGTATGCCCCCTGCCTTGCCTTGCTTGGCACAGTGTTATGGAGGAAATTCAGGAACTCTTCTGCCTAGAAAGTCCCACAAGAAGAACGGCATGAGGATGAGGTAGCCCTGGCTGAGCATCCCCAGAGAGTAAGAGAACAGGGCACAGAAGTGATCCGAACCTAGAGGGAAAGGCTCGAAGTATGAAGATGAACTCCAAAGTGGTGGTGCCACTGGAGCCCTGACTCTCTGGCATAGCCTCTTGTTGGCTACCCCTTGCTCACCTCTGCCACCTTCTGCCTGATGCAGAGAAGCCAGGCTCTCCCCAGTGCCCATTTCCAGCTGCCAAAGTGTGTCTTCTCTTCCCCACCTCCTACTGCCTCACTGTGTTTTCCTACCCCTGGGTGCCGAGGGCAGGCATGGTACTAAGCCTACCTCAAGGCTCTCCAGTAACCCCTGACACTTGCTAAGTGTATGGGCATGGCACTAAGCACCGTCGGGATGTCTTTCATTTAGTTCAGATGTTTCCTTCCCGACTGTGGCAGGAAATTGCCCCATGGTGCAGGGAGCCCAGGACTGGTGTGCTGGTAGCTGGTGAGGCCAAACGGAGAGGCTGGGACTATGGTGGCAGGAACAGTTCCTCCTATCAGAGCTCCCTCTGGTGGAACCAATAAATACCCCAGGGCCACTTGGATAGTGAGATAAGACTCAACACCCGCGTGTCCTGTCCTGGAGAACTGGGTGACCCTCAGGCGAATGCATTGCCACACCAGTGTCAGAATGGCCATCGGCCCAACAGGAAGTTGGTCTCCCATTCTAACATCAGTACCATTTTGAAGGTTCTTTTGTTTCAACTTGCCTAGCATCAAAAACCTTCCAAATACTATGGAACATATATGCATATATATACGTCAAACCCCCAAAACATGAGGTATATAAATCGAATTAGTATCCAGAGGAACTTCCCCCAAACACATAGTTCAAAGAACCCACTTTCAAAGGGGCAATTGGGTTTCCCTTCTTAATCCTCCCTTTCTCTCCTCCCTGACCCTCAATTCATTCTTTAATGGGAGTCAAAGGCAAGAGTAATGGGCGGGAGGAGATAGTCAGGGTCTGGCGACACATCCCAGATGCAAACTGGACCAGACCATAATGGGTTAGTCCAACCCAGTTAGGAATGGGCTTAAGAGGCTTCCTCCATGCTGTAAATCAATTTGTAATAGATGAGTGTGATGAGGGGCCCAGCACCATCTCTGGGCTTTGAACAGCCAATTTGCATGGAGACAGATGGAAGCCCTCATAGACAAAAGACTGATCCTATCTCAAAAAGAAATATAAAAAAGGGATCAGTCTAGCCCTCAACTCATCACATCTTCCCAAGCACAGTTTTGTCTCCATCAGGTCTAAGCTTACTATGGGATAGGTTGACAAAGGGTGAGGAAAGTCAAGGACCACAACTAAGCTGTTTGATCCCTATCAGAACTGGGGTCTGGCATCTTCCAAAACAGAGTGAGGACTATGATAGGACTGTGCACCCCCACACACATACACACATACACAGATGGCACAGAGCCCAGCATGGGCTCCACTCACAGTGACTTCATGAAACTCATGGAATCTTTGAGCTGGTCTGGGATGAGTTGGGAAGAAGGCTATGGGCTCCTCTCCCTGAGGACATTTCAGATGCTCAGTGGACGTAGGCTCTGGTTTGATCAGAGAGGGGTTGGAAACAGCATCATGGGATGCCACCCCAGAGAGGAATCCCAGAGCCCAACCATCCCCACGAGAGAACCAAATGCCTCTTTGGGCAGGTCAGAGGCGTGAGGAGGAGGGGAGGGTCCGGAGAAGCCAAGGACTGTGATGAGAGCTGACCATGCTCCCAGAGGCTCCTGACCCTCGCAGCAGGAAGTGCTTCCTCACTCTACACCGAGGCATCTGATTTCTGGTGTCACAACAGTTGAGCGGTTCACCCCTTTGCTCCCCAACCTTGCACAGTGAGAGCTCCCTGCCTCCTGAGGAGGAGAGAAAAGCAAAACTCCACTCTCAAGCAGAGTGGAAGCAGCAAGAAGCCGGCTGAGGCCAGGAGCCTCAGGCTTCACAAGGCCAGGGTATGGAGTGCCCTTGCACGATCCGTACCCTAAGTGTGCTGACCATGCCCCCTGCTTGGGGCGTGGGGAAGGGGTGAGGGTTCCTTCCTACCCAGCACCAAAAACTCCATGGGAACAGACCCAGGATGGCCCTCATCCCATGTCCCCTTTGTGTTGGATGAGGCTTATGAATGACAACATCATATTCAATCTATCTCCCCCTGGTGGCTGGGAGGGGTGAGGGATGGAGACAGGACAGGAGGGGAGATGAGGGAGTCGAGAGGGCATGGCACCAACTTCCACCTTGACTCTCCTCACTTTTCACCCTGTGGTCCCCATGGCACCTCCCATCTCAAGGCCCTTCCAGCTTCAGTCCTTGTCCTGGGTAGTACTGTCCTCAGAGATGCCCTGGGCAGCTAGTTCAGCCAGTACATTATCCAGGTAATTGGCGTCTGGATAGCCATGGCCAGTGAGATTAGAGCCAAACTCTGTCTTGTGGTGGACCTCGTTCCAGATGACGGTGTCTGACTCCCCTGTGGTGCTGGAGGTACCAATGGCAAAGATGAGACGACGATCCCAGGCCACAAGCAGCAGCTTCAGAACCTAGTGGGACAAACATGGGAGACCCAAGGTAGACATTCAGTGTCGGTCAAAGGTTTTCCTTTGGATGACAAAGTCCTTCCAAAAGTCCCACCCCTCCTTGCATCATGATGCCCTAAGCAACACAGTGAAAGACAAAGACATTTGAACTTGCAGTCGGGGAGCTACAGTTGAGTCTTGGCTTTGTCACTGAATAACTGTGTGACCTTGGAGAAGTTGCAGCACCTCTCTGAGCTTCTATTTCCTTATTTATAAAAAGGCAGCGGTACAATCTGCCTCTAAAGGTATGAACACCTTATGGGGCACTGTATGAAAAGCATTTTCATGCTAGTGTCTGGAACACGCTACCCAATCAATGTAGGTTACCAGCAGCAGAACAGCTGCATTGTGAAAAACAGGATCTGGTAGCTGCAGGCATTTATGACTAAGCACTTTGGGAGCTCTGCCTTTTGCCATCACCACCACCTAATTAATTTACCCACAGCTGACACTGTAGAATAGTTCTCTGATGACATCTTAAAGCACTTTGACCTCTTCCAAGCTATTTTACATTTATTTGCTCATCCGTTTCTCACAACCACACTTGGAGCCAGGCATGGCAGGTGCTATTAGTGCCCTTATTTTACAGATGAGGAAACTGAGGCTCAGAGAATATGTTGTAGGCTGTAGAATGTTCTCATTCAGCTAACTGCAAAAAAATAAAACTTTGTTGAGCAAGACTAACACCTGACCCCCTGTTTCAGGTCTTGATCAGAAAGCACCCAATGAATGTCCTTAGTTCAAAACTGGGCTATTTCCATCATGGTGTGGGCTGGAGGAGAGAAATCATTATAGTGGTAATAATTATAACAGTAGACTTAAAATTATGAGCTACCATTTCCCAAGTAAACACTTTCAAACTGCCAGTCATTGGGTCATATAATGTCAGAACAAATGGATGAGATAGGTACTCTCTCATTGTCCCTTTTTTGCAAAGGAGGAGAGAGAAGCTGGGAAGATAAACGATGTGCCTTGGTCTTATAAGTTGGTCTTACAGTAGCAGCCAGGGCTGGGAGGGGGGCTCAACTTCATGGCTGTCTGCCTCCACAGTCCACAGTGTGAGGCATATTCTGTTGATTCCCAGAAGGGAACAGTATAGATTTCATGCAGGAGGCTGCTTCTGAGCTGAGCTATATGCCAGTTCCCACTGCTCATCAACAGCCAAACTAGGACTTGAGCCCAGGCTGGTCTGGCTCCTAAGTTCATGTTCACGTTACACCTAAATCTACAGGTCAGCCCACAGTCAGGGTTTTGGAATGCTGATGTGAAGAATGAGAGAGAGGGGAACATTGAGGCCCATATCAGAGCAGGTTTTATGTGTCAAGAAAAGAAGATTGTGCTTAGTGAAGAAAGGAAAAGCCATGGAAACAACT